TTTTTGGCCTTTGTTAATTTATTCCCAACTTTGGGAGATTTCAGGAGGACCACTTGGGAACTGTGTCTCAGGACATCCCCAGCCCCAATTTTGTGGCCCCCCTCCCTAAAGTTTGGGAGTCATTTGTCCCATTACTGCAGTGGGAATGGGAGTTTCTTCCCTAATTAATTCAGTACCCAGACGTTTTGGGAATCAATGGCCCAAACAATTCTGGGGTAAAGGCAGTCCTCACTCCAAACATCAATGGCTGGTAAAGCTCATCCCTGTTGCCTGTACACTCTCAAAGGACAGGGGTATTCCTCCCTGCCATCAAGGGTGTATGTACACTCTCAATGGTGGGAGGGAATTCTCTCAAATTTTCATTTATCATCAAACTTACCATCATGATTTGTGTTGTGAGTGTGCCTTACATATTGAGGGCTGTTCTGCTCTTTTTTTATCTCAGCCTCAATTGCACATATTAGGGGGTATCCAATATGGGAAATCAGCTATTACAAACCAGTCAATTTTCCCAAAAGAATTAATGTATTGATGGTCCCCAAAGGGGTTAAATGAAGAACAAATTATGTTTAAAGAATGGTGGATTGTTTTCAAACCATTCAATTAAATAATGGTGGATCTGGTTATATTTGATACCCCCTCATATGGGGTATCAAATATGAGAAATCCACCATTAGAAACCAGTCACTTTTCCAAAAATAAAATTTTGCATCGGCGCTTAAAGGCATCAAATGAAGAACTAAAATATTAAAAAAAAATGGTGGAGTTTTTTCAAGCCAGTTAATTAAATAGTGGTAGATTTGGCCATATTTGATACCCCATGATTAGTTTTTCTCTTTTGACACTCTTGAATATGACTAATGCAAAGTAAATTTTGAATTGTACCCCTTGCCTCCATGACTTGATGTAGAGCGAGAGAAAAAGCTGCTGGCAGATTCACCAAGATTGGTCAACATGACATGCAGCCTCACTCACTCACTTTATCCTCAGAAAAAATTGCATACTATCACTTTCCAAGTAGTTAATTATACATCTTTTAGCCGTAATTGTTGGACAAGGCTAAAAACTATTTCATCAGCAGCAAGATTGACATCAATTTCAAAATCAGATGGATCATCACATTTTCTCAAATCTCAATTTTTGCCAAAAGGAGGTTCTTTATTAGTTTCTCCATGGTATTGAACTGATTTTTCAATGCCACTGTTGAGATTTTGGTAAAGTCAAACATCAACCAGCAAAAAAATTCAGTTGTTGGTTTTCCTTGCTTCCCACTCAATCTCTGTGGAAACAAAATTTAATCATGTAATCACCATCTGGATTTGCATCAGATTCTACAAGATATTGTTGGCTGTTACCACCTGATTTGGATTGAAAAACCAATTGCCAATTGGGTTTTCAAGTATGAAAAAAATGGAATCCCTGATTCTTAATTGGTTGCTGACCATGTTTCAGAGAAATTTCATAGAGATGATAAGGGCCACTTGCCATGGCCATAAGTGACAAGTGCTACCTCCATTACATTGATTTTTCAAAGGGATAGATGTTAAATTCTGCTGCGTAAGAAATGATTGTAAACACGCAGCCAAAGCGCCAATTGTCACTAGCACTGAATTAACCTAACCCTAATCCCCCCCAACAACAAAATCAAGAACGATCAACACAGAGATACCAGTCTTTTCTTCACGCAATTATAGTACTAGAAAGTGAAGTAAAGACTGGTACGTAACAAACTCACTCAAGCTCCCCCAATCAATCAACAACAACAAACTAACATGGATTATTGTTTCTTTTATTCTTTTTCTCTCTATATTTTTCACACCATAAATATTTTGTCTGTATTGCGTCCTTCATCTGAAAACCAATTTAAC